TCACCTTTATCTCGGAATTTTTTTTGTTTTTTTTGTTTGTTTTTTTTTGTTGTTTTTTTTTTGCACTATACAAATGTCAAAGAAGAGGGACGAAAGATACCAGAGGGACAGTCAAACTCATAGATTGAAAATAAACTGACAACGCCATGGCTAAAAATAAAAAGACAAACAGACAAATAATAGTACAGAAGACACAACATAGAAAAACTAAAGACTAAGCAACACGAACCCCACCAAAAACTTGGGGTGATCTCAGGTGCTCCGGAAGGGTAAGCAATTTAGAGTACTATCCATTGTTATTTTAGTAGAAAACACTAATAAAGTATATTGTTGAACTGTTACAGTAAAGATATGATACTTGATGTATTAATAAATCCTTTGAACACCATAATATATTCAATGTTAACAATGTAATGCATATAAGGGAAACAATGCAAAAATGAATTGATGCTTTTTCTAATAATTGCAAGTGTTTTGTTGTTTTCATTTCTATTTCGATTACGACAAATAATTGACGTTTTCATGTTGCAGCTAATATAAAATACCTTAGAAATAGTTTATGTAGGCAAACTACAACTACGTTGTGATTTATTGTCACTATTCAAATGGTATCCAAAATAAGTTAATAAATTTTACCCTATTTATCTCAAACTTATTCTGTGTATCCTCGTTTAGAATATATAAAGTTGATTCAATATAATAATTAAAAATAATTCAACTAAACCTGATTTGTTTGTAGTATATGTATAAATAATCAATTTTCGTTCCAAATCATGTTGGTAGAGTAAAGACAAGGACTGTATTGTTTAAGCACCGATGAGGTGCATTGTTGTATATACAGTAACACGTGTCTCCTTTAATTGCTGTTTTGAGCCATTTAAAGGAAAATATAATGTTGATACATGCTCAGAAAAAAGTTGAACAGTACAATCATTAAGCTGTAGAACATTAAATTAAAAAAAAATATCAAAAGATTTTGTGGGAATTATCACACCTGTGAAATAAAATGCAGGATAAAATGGCACTACTACTTACATTTATCATCAGATTTGGGTGAAATTATTGAAAAATAATGTATATGAATAGGCAACGTATATGTAAAACTATTAAATAAGCAACATTGTTAGTTATCATTCTACATTTAAAACATCAATGATGCTGTAGAATAATGTCCGTGGTGACTGTGGATAACATATATTGACTGTGGCATCTCGTAAGATACAAAAACAGTACTGATCACATATACTACTGTTCATATTGATGTCGTCGCTTATTATGTTGCCAATAAAGACAACAGTAGTATACCGCTGTTCAAAATCCATAAATCGATTGAGAAAAAACAAATCCAGGTTACAAACTAAAACTGAGGGGAACACATTAAATATAAGAGGAGAACTACGACACAACAGAAACACAACATTAAAATGTAACACACACAGAAACGAACTATAATATAACAATGGCCATTTCCCTGACTTGGTACAGGACATTTTAAGAAAAAAAATATCCATTTACTTACTAATGTCAGTGATCATGATATAAAAACAAACTTATGCTGTACGTATGCTTTGCATATGTTTCGGTTTTGCCTCTCTCTTTGTATTCTTAATTTAGTGATGCTGATCAGCGGAGGTTTAAAACGGACGGACCTGAAATGATAGTATTAAATTTTTTAAACAACTTAATTTCAATTGTAAGAATAAATTTTTCACGTAACCATTAAAGCCCAGTTACTTATATTCATCATTAATGCTTAAGATTATTATATATAGTTAGAAATCATATACATCTTGATTTACAGAAAATGTTCGCTGTGTGTTTCAATAATCCAAAGTGTATGCCCCGGGTACATCGTAGTTAATCAGGAGTCCATACTTGTTTCGGCTTGTTTGAATCATGCATATTTAATCTTAAACAGGTTCATTTTCTGATAACGTTAATTTTTGGTCTGAATAAGATTTAGCTCACAAATTATATTTGAGTTTATTGCTATTGTTATTGAAGTTTTTTATTAATTTAGTATTGGAACTAGTGTTTTTTAACTACTCGATGAATCAGTGATTCGTCTGCTGTAATGAAAGGAAAGAGTAACCATTTCATGTGGAATAGATATAACAAAAAAGGTATCATGTGTGAAAAAGCAAAGTGGCAGTAGGTTATTATAATTAAAGCAAATGGCAAAAATGTACTTACTTAAGGTTATTGAACATACCAAATTATTCAAGTTGCACGAATGTTTGAAACTCATAAATGCTTTTTTTAAAGTTTTTTTCTTCGTGAAACAATTATTTCAATCCATACTCACACTTATATCTGTTAAACCTTGTTGTATCTCCATATTGCCGAGACTGAGCAATAGAAAACTGAATTAGGCCATTAGAATATTGCGGGCAGATATACGCAAACGTGCTGTTGCTAGACAATTATACGTCAGAAACTCATCTTACTGTCTTTACAACAAAGGTACAGGCAGAAGGGATTTGTTGATGACCACCCATGACCAGAGCTATATGTAGTGACAACGCCTCGTTAATAAAATTTGAATACACAACGTCATATGCGAGACATGTTTACGGCCGCAACGTCAACTGCTAATCAAGTCGTCGAATGCCATGGCAGACAGAGTACTTAACAGCCTAAAAAGATAATGCTATATCTAAGTCCTGCATGTAATCCAGTATTCATTTAAAATCATATGATTGTATATATATATTATATAACTTAATGGTTATTTGCGTGGTATGTTCTAGAGTAATTTATTTTTAAATGCAGAATATTGAAGTATCTAGTAATCCGTCAACGTTGGAATGCTTCAAGACTTATCTGTGTTTGAAATAAAATTCCTTTCCATCTTATAAAATGTGAACTGAAGGTTGTCTGTTTGTCTGTTTTCGTTTTACCACGTCAATGTCTATCGTCTATCTTACTTTATCGAATTTGTTTTTTCATTATTTCCCTATGGTATTAATTCCAATTTGGTATTAAGGTCTGAAAAATGAAAAAATAAAAAAATATCTGAAAAAATAATTCATCATAAATAAGGAAATTATAGAAAAGATGATGACTGCTATTTCAAGTTACACCTTTACGACTCTATATCGTACTTGTGAAGCAAATATTAATAATTATACGATATTTTCTCAATAGAGCCGTCAGGAACAATGGATACTTTTTTTATACTTTAACTTAAGTATCGGACGTATGTTGTATTTGTAAAATAATATGTGACGAAACAAAGTTAAAATTTGGTTATCAACTGTATACCATGTATACACAAAACAAATTCTCAATTTAACATAACTAATTGTGAAACATGTCAAATACATTACATGTTTACGTGTTAGGTTAGATTGGTAAGTAAATTATAAGTTAGAGCTTTTCAAGACGTTAATTCTACTAATTGTGATCAGCATTCGGTATTTGGATAATAATTGTATATAAATGATATGTGAAAACAGTAATGTTTTATAGTCATAATTCGGAAATACCACTGCTTGATTTGATAAAGAATTATGATCATCGATTTCAGCAAATATATCATAATTCAATTTCGAAGAGATACATACCTATTGACTATTCGATAAACAACAACAATTTTATAAGTTTTGACTGCTTATTTGTCATGTCAATTCAATTTTCTTCATGCTATAAACTTGATGTTTCAAAATTCACAACAAGTTGACTATCAAACAGTCAAGGGCATACCAGTCAGTAAAACCAGTTAGTGCATAACAAATGTCTGTGCTTGTTCATACATAGCATTGAATCTCGATAATCTCATGTAATCAAATGAAGTCCATGAAAATTTCTACATTGCCGATGTTTGTGTAATTCCTATAGTTTGACACGAATGGGATCTCCAGAAAAAAAAAAGAAGTGCAAGCGGCAAAATACATTAAGAAGCATATGTTGGAAGGGAGAGATGAGAGGGTTTTACTTCCACATTCCCTGATGATTTATCAACGGTTAGCATTATGGCATATATTGGATAGGGGTTTAACTTTATATCTTTTCGAAATCAGAAATTAAAAATCTTTACATTTATAACCTTTACCTACATTTTACACTTTACTACATACTAAACAGATCTCCTAAATTTTGAGTTCTCTTAACTCATTCATCGAACTTTACAGAAACATAATGGCAACCAGATTTCGGGAGAGGAACTTGCATCAGTCTTTCTCAAAAGTTGGTTCAAGAGAGGGGTCATACAGGATTCGAATATACTTGGTAGTAAAAGTGCAAAAGAATTTGTTAAAGGTTTCGGATTCCAACTATATGAAGTTGGACTAATTCCAGACAATGCAGAGTTTTTTAGTAAGTATTTTATCCGATGTCATGAAAGTTCATCGTCAATAAGTTTACAGGGATTTATGTAAATTTACTGTAAGAAACTATATTTAAGTATGTAAGAGAAGACTTACAAGATAAAGGAAATACGTCATTGTCACGAAATAACCGAATGGGATGTAGCTATTCAATGATTAGATTTGTCTGTATGTGTTACTCAACTCCAGTTTGATACACAATATATGTATTGGCTTTTTATGTTCACAAAAGAATTTACAAAGATTTCCATAACGAAAAAATTGAACTATAAGAGATGCAAAATATAGAGAATGAATATTCAATCACATAGGTCAAAAACGAACTGCCTAACGACTAAAAGACAAATAACAGTAAATAAAAAACACGAAAAAGTAAAGATTGAGCTTCTCGAACCCAAATCTTCTCATCGTAATTTCCTTTTGTGTTGGACTACAATTTGATATAGAGGCCATATCAGATAATATCCTTAAGGTACATATACATCAGCAACCACAAAACAAATAAGACAAATATCATTGTAAACTTAGAGATAAGTAATGAAGATAGATTTTATTATGCAAGTAATTAAGATCATGATTTGTTTCTGGAGTTATTTGGACTTATTAAGTGTTTTCCTTGCATTTTGGAAATAATTATATATTATCATATTATTATGAATTTCCTTCTTTCAGAGGATACCAATACAACCTTTGGAGACAGGAAAGAACGTCAGTTGGTATCCATGGATTGTGCAAATGGCGCTGACGCAGTAATTAAATACGGCTATACTCACACCCAAGGTTGCGATTGGTTATATGTTTGCGAGTAAGTACAAGTAAACTGATTTTATTAAACAAAAATTAAAGTAACATGATGTTCTATTATATTTTTATTAGCGGCGCAAAAAAAGGCGAACGTTCCTCAGAATGTAAATACAATTGTCATTTTCATTTAGACATTTTTCATGGTTAACCTTATAATACAAGAACAGTTTTTCTCATGAGGTCTTTTGAATTTGGCTGATGGAAACCAGTTGGTCTTAATTTCTTCAATCCAAGTCCACTATCACTTGTGGTATTATCGCTTTTTCAAAGGAAATTAGACTACTGTTACATTTAAAACAACAATGTATTAAGTTGTTTTAAGCTTTGAAATTGATCTGACAATATCCCCATCCCTGCTACAAAAAAGTATTTAATTGTTGTCAAATATATGTTTTATATACTTCTTTGAGTTAATTGTTTTGCGCAATCACGGCATTTTAAAGTATTTATATATATATGTTCGTAACAGAGTGTACATGTCATGCATTTGGTGGCCTGAACATAATAGAGTAAGCGCTTGTGACTGTCAGAGGATGAATAAGCATGGTTGAAATATTATATATTAGCCATAACATATATTTAATTTTTGTGATTATGCATTATCGATCTTAAACTTTAATTGGTGTTTGTCGTTGAATCAATATGTGATTTTGTCATAAAAAATTTACGTAAACCTTTCTCTTAAAATCTTATGAAACTTCTTTTTACAAATCATGCTTGAGCTTTATCAAAATGTTATCATAATAAATCATATACATTAATAGTATTGTTTTTTTCCTTAAAATGGATCTCTTCTATAGATTTTATTTCTGCCTTTTTCAAATTTAAATAGAAAAAAAAAGTTCAGTAAACCAATTTGTTTATTGTTTTTTTTATCTGTTTTATTTCTTTTCACAAGAATTTTACATTTTATCCCTAAAACTGAAACTATCCCATCTGAATTTTCTTATATAGGCTTTTTACATTTTATCCCTAAAACTGGAACTATCCCATCTAAATTTTCTTATATAAGCTGCAATGTCAAACGATCTGGTGCAGTTTCGATGTGTCTTCTGCATTTTCTGTTTCAAGGACTGAGGATTTGTCCACTATAAAGTGTTATAATTCATATTTGGACGCAATACATAAATAGTAGTTGGAATGGAACTGCCATTGCACGAGAGATGGAGACACAAACACCAAATAAAAAAAAATAAGTACTCCGAGTTGCATATAATTGCCAATGAGACAATTGCAAATGAGACACCTTCCAACTTCCAATGAGACAATGTTACTATCCATATACTAACTGACCAAATGAACGTTAACAGTTATATTGCCTTCAAATATTCAAAACCCTCGTCCAGGTTGAAAAATAAAAGACACCTTCCGAGAACATGAAGAGCAAAGGTAAACAGTAAATCGAGGTAAAATGTTTTAAATGGTTATCAGGTTGACTTGTCCAAATAATTATGGCATCTTGAAATTCTATTTTATTTTTTTACCTTTACGACTTCCTAAGAAGTCGTAGCTAGGGGTCTCTGCAAAAATTCAAAATAACCTTTCAAGATGTCATAAAATTGTATTTGGACTAGAAGTCGACGTGAAATGGGCTTTGTGATAATCTAGACTCGTTGTCCAAACCTAAAAAAAATTCAGCTAGTCTGTTGACAAAAGGCTTTTTAAAATGAATGTCACCGTGCTTAGTCTGACATATTGGCCACACTGAACGTTTCGGCATATTTATTGTGTTTAAACAAAACAGTGTCTTTCAAATGATAGTTTATATAAAGTTGGTGTTCATCATGACGTTCTATCTAAAGACCAGAGACATTAAAAAATCCTATTTTGGTTAGATCAGAAATCGTCCAATATAAAAAAAATTAGTTATACGTGATAACCGTGTTATACTCCCAGTTTATTTTATATCAACTGTTCATAAAATGTAAAACTCATTTTTAACACTTTGGTTCTTTATCCACATGCATATTTAAAATGATCATTTCCTGCAAATGTACTTTCTGAAGAAAAAAAAAAATGCCCTCAGACATAAATCGACTGAACAACTTTATAAAGACCCCTTTTTTCTACAGTAAACGATGGCCTTCTGATCAGTCAATTTCTTTACAATTTTGAAGTCAAATAAAAAAAAAATCTTTTGCTCTTTAAATTACATTTCCCCACGCTCATCTGAAAGATCAAATAAATCGTCTCATTAAACAGAACCTTTTCTACACAAATGGTTGAATTTTTTTTATCGACAGCATGTTTGTTGAGTTTTGTGGACTTATATTTCAACAGAAAGTCGGTATTTGAGTGGGTACAATTGTGCACTGATGTGAGTCAGAATTTATATAAATATAAAAACCTCAAAGACAAAAAAAATTATAGGTTTCATATCGGATGAGAATTGGATATCGCTTGATATCAACTCAGTTATTTACTTTCAATTTAATAATAAGCGAGCCTTCGACGAATTTATTATTCCTATTTAAATTAAATAATGAGAGTTGATATCAAGCGATATCCAATTATAACAAGTTGTCAAACCTATTTCTCTTATGGTCAACACTCCCATTGTGTTCAATTAAAATTTAGGTTGCACTTTGTAAATACAGCTGTTTCTCAAACCACGCCTCTTTTGGGGGGATATAGAATATTCATAGATAATTAGTTTTGATTTACATACTGGTTCCCAGTTATGATCTCTATGTTTCATCTCATAGAGACATAACTTGTGAATGTTACCAGTAAATATACATATGCATATTGTTTATATTGAAATCTGTGGTGATCCTACAGTTAAGGTAGGGGTAGTTAAGAAATTTAGTGTTAATTTAAACTCTTAGAAGTTCGGGGCACATAAACGTTGAAAATATGCCGCACAGCCCTATATTTTGACCTTTGAAAAAAATAGTAGTGCATATGAACTTTCCATTCTAGGATATGATTTTTTTTCAAAACTTCATAGTAAAAGTGGTACAGTTATAGCCGTAAAAAGAGTTCCTATGGGAAATTGCATTGTCAATATTTACAGATATGCAACCTATATTGGGTGAAAAAAGAGAACATACAGAATTTAACCAAATTTGGTTTATCTCACAGATTTTAATGAAATTAACTCAAATATGAAGTTTTATAAATATTTCATGAAGATTGAGAAAATCCTGGGCCTTAACTATGATGACTCAGCATAAATTCACAGTTTACAGTATGCATAGTTTACTTAAAGCCCTGAATGCAAAATAAATTCATAATATATGCATATTTGTAAGTTAAATTGTTTAGAAGTGCTTATATTTACTCTTCGCAGTCATTGAAACTCATAGATTCTTCCTGAATATTATTGGTGGGGTGTTTTTGTCCTGTCGATAACCCAAAAGTAAGCCGTTACACCTAAATCTGCTTTTTTGTCACCGCGACATAAAAAATACAAGCTAGAAATACAAAAAAATCTCAACAGAACCTACAATAGTGTGTCCTATCCTGAATATGTACTGAATATTCCATATTGCTAGAAACAGCAGAATAATTTAGGAAATTTGAGGCCCCAGGGGCAAAAAACAGAGAAAATTGCCTACCCCCTGGGTCATAAAACAAATAATTCAACTTGTAAATGCTATGATTTTATGATTTTTAAGGTCTTTATATAGAAAACAATAACTGTGCGTGGAATTTATGCAAAAATCGGATGTTAGCAGTCATTTCTATAAAATTTTAAGTGAATTTGTACATCAGACTGGTATCTGCATACATACAACGATTGCAAATATGGCTTTGTTTTAACACTTCTAGTTCATATTTTAGCTAAATTATGTCAGATATATGGTTAGAGATGATACTGTTGTGACAAAAATTCTTAACTGACCATTTTAGGCAGAAATTGTGAACTTTCATTGACAAATATGCATACAGTAAGATGTGGACTGGAGACAGAGGCAGGATTGGATACTTTATATAATCTTGAATGTTGGAATGATTGACTGCTAAACATTACATTTACAGTATTCTGAAATGCTTTCAATTTGTTATAAGAAAAGTTTTAAACAGGTTCTAGGTATTTCATGTCAGAAAACATGCAAATAGGATAAGCTGGCAATAGTTAAAGACTTGTTTTCAAATTCTATAAAAAACTGAAACAGGGGAGGGGGTATACAATGTACAGTAAAAGAAAACTTAGAGTATATGCAGTGATTTCTTTAAGGCTATAATTCTGATAAATAAGTATTAATGGGAGAAAAAGTGTTTTTAGAGAGTTTTCTATTTGAATAAATGTCTGTAAAGGTTGCACTTTGTAAATACAGCTGTTTCTCAAACCACGCCTCTTTTGGGGAGATATAGAATATTCATAGATAATTAATTTTGTTTACATACTGGTTCCCAGTTATGATCTCTATGTTTCATCTCATAGAGACATAACTTGTGAATGTTACCAGTAAATATACATATGCATATTGTTTATATTGAAATCTGTGGTAATCCTACAGTTAAGGTAGGGGTAGTTAAGAAATTTAGTGTTAGTTTAAACACTTAGAAGTTCGGGGCATATAAACGTTGAAAATATGCCGCACAGCCCTATATTTTGACATTTGAAAAAAAATAGTAGTAGTATGAACTTTCCATTCTAGGATGTGATTTTTTTCAAAACTTCATAGTAAAAGTGGTACAGTTTTAGCCGTAAAAGGAGTTCCTATGGGAAATTGCATTGTCAATATTTACAGAAATGCAACCTAAAAATCTATGTTAAATGTGATGATTACAACTTTCCAATTGTTAACTTTCAATTTTTCAACACACATCTATCGTACTGAAGCATGCGTCTTGCTTACTGTAACATGCGTCTTGTGTACTCAATTATAAGCCTGCTTTGCTTGATGGCTTATCAATGTTCTTGACAAAATGTTAGCAACTGCGTCATTTAGAGGTGACAATCAATGTTCAAACACACTGCACAGAAAACTAATTTAAGACCAATATGAACATTCGAAAACAATGGAGTGATTTAAAGATATATGCTTTATAAGCAGTTCATGCTTTACTAATTGCTCATGGAAAATGTGATTGTTAAGTCGCATTATTGGAATTTATTATAAAAGAGTAAAGGAGCACGGGAATACGGCACATTGGACCTATATGTGGTCAGCTATGACATTATAACAACTATTTATAATCCAAATCATAATGGCGTCGTAATACTTATTTAATTTAGAACCCTCGGTTCAGCAACATAATTGTAACTACTACCTTCTCAGCAGGGCGCAACACGCCTTTTCAGTCAAGATCAAAATTTTTAAGTCAATATTCCCAAACGGATGAGGCTGAATGTGTCAATCTCATGTGCACAAAGTTGATTCCTTTAACTGATATTTATTTTTGTGGTATTATTTATTGAAACGTTTGGTTCTCTCTGTTTCTATCATAAGATAGTGCCGATCTATTTTGGATAATTTTTCCTTATGATTGACTGATCGTATGTCTATGTTTTCACCGCCTATAAAGCAAGTATTTTACCAAGACCAAACGGTGGTTATTATAAGCCATTAATTTAATAAATGTGTACATTCCACAAAATTAAGGTTGTTTGTCGCTCTGGTTAAGATCTAGTTATTTTGGATCATCGTTTAAAGTGTCCTTTGTTGGTTTATTCTCTATGTATTTATCTTTCTTTCTCTGCTTTAAGATATCCTCGTTTGATTCAAATAGTACAATGAGTACTAGTATGCTTAAGGGGGCCAATATGCTCAAATTATTTCAGGTAGGCAGTAATGGTAACATTTTTTTCTGTTTTCTCAGTCCATATTGTAAACTTGAATATGTATGATGATTTATTTTCAAGCTGAGAAAGTTACATCTGTGTGGTTTGATTTTTAGGTTGGAAGTATATTTTGTTTCTGTAAAAGCTAAACTCCGGAAGATAGTGATAATAGTCACTATCCTCGTGGAATTCTGACTAACGAATTTATTTTCAATCTGTCCTTTGGCATAATTAATTCAGGTTCGTATTTTTATTTTTTCATATCATATCAGCTCTATGAAATACCAATTCTATAGTTGAGTTATGTCAATTCTAAAAATCGCAGCATCCACAATTGTATGGCGGACTAATATTTTAATGAGATTCATAAATCGGTCTTCCTCATCTCAAGGCCCATTTGGAATGACCAATACTAGATCATCTTACATCAGATTCTCCTAATATTCATGTGTTTCCCATCAGTACATATTTCAGAACAATTCTGTAAAGTTTTCGCCATATCTGAAATACAAACAAATCATTTTAATACTTTCAAGTAGCAATACTTATGACTGTTTAATATCTATTAAAGGAAGAATAAAGCATAAAAACCATATAATATCAATTCACATTCTAAACATTTGCTTTGCCTTTTAATGTTTATACTGCCTTTCATAAGCTTTTTTAATCTTACAGCAGTATAGAAATCATCATTTGTTGTTGATATATCATAAAAATCTAGTGTTTTGGCTTAAAAACTATTAGATAACAGGAATTTGTCACCCTGAAATTCTTTTATTCTGTTATTTTTACTTTCATTTCATTAAAATTATTATTTAATTCCATTAAAATGAAGATCCGTCATAGACCTTTTCAAAAACTGCTATATTTTTAAAACCAAATCAAGTAATAAGCATGTTACAGTACTTTGCGTGTGAGTGTTCAAAGTTGGCAAAATGGGGTATTTTTTGGTGAAGAGTACATTGTGACGTGATTGATTTATGACATCATAATTTAGAGTTGTACACATCTTACAGGGTGTATAAATTTTGAAATATGAAAGTAGAAAAGGAAACGAAACAAAGAGAGGCCAAAGATACCATAGGGACATCCAAACTCATAAGTCGAAAATAAACTGACAACGCCATGGCTAAAAAAGAAAAAGACCAACAGACAAACAATAGTACATAAAACACAATATAAAACTAAAGACTGAGCAACACGAACCTCACCCAAAACTGGGGGTGATCTCAGGTGCTCCGGAAGGGTAGGCAGATCCTGCTCCACATGTTGTACCCGTCGTGTTGTTCATGTTATTACAAACCCGGTTATAAGTCTAATTCGGTAGGTCACATTCGGGAAAAGGGGACGGGATTGTAGTTAAGACATTAGGAACATATCCGCTATCATCTGTGAAACGGATATTCCATAACGGTCTACCAACTCGTGATGGCGTTAGGGTTGGTTACCAAGCATTTTTATCCCTTTAGGATCCCCTAGCAACAAATAACAGATTTAATTGTGGTTTCTTTGGTATTGCTCAATCTACAGCCCTATCTACACAGGTTTTAAAAAGTTCATCTGTGAAAGTAGCATCTAAGCATAAATTGTATTAACGAACTTCAAATGGGATGCTTGAAACACACAGGGAATCTAGCTGGTTACCCCGCCTTACTGAAAAAGATTTCAATTTGTATTATAAAGAAAGTTATGATAGGAAGTCATATGTAGCACCACAAACTGAAAATTGTGCTACTCCGTCAAACTCCTTTGCCAATATGAAGTGTCTGATGACCATCAAAATTATATTTAGCGGAGAAAAATATCTAAAACAGACCAGTGGACAGAGATCTTAACATTTCAATGATTGATAATCTAATAATTTGTCATATAAATCAAAGTCCACATTGTAATGTTCCACATGGTAACCTTGTGCAAGAGACTCTCGGTTAGATTTGGGAACTGAAATATACAAAATGTACTTTTACTTAAAAAGAATATAAAATTTTTAGAGATATGGACAGTAAAAGACCTGGTAGCAAGAGTGCCAGCATAAACTACTTGTTTCAGACTTGTGCAATAATTCTAATATCGGTAATGACAGTTCACAAAGTCATGTATTTTGGACAAATTCCTGTATTTCCTCCTATGGCAAGAACATCAATACAAAGAATAAATAATATTGTTTGTGACAAGGTTGTAAATATTAATGAGGACGAAACAAAACAAGTGTTTGAGAAATGAAACCTTAAGTTTTAATAAAAGTAGTCCTGTAAAATTACAAATGGATGGTACATATCAGAGTATCTATATCAAAAGTAGACATAAAATGGGTCAAAATGCCTCACTGGCAAATGGTATTGCCTGTGGCAATTGCACTACTGATGGTTATTCAAAAGGTGTGAAAAGTTTACAAGAGGCAATTCAAGAGATAATTGACCCTTTATGGTCAGTAAACAGAATTGCCGATACAGTCAATTCCGTGAAGTACTCCGATCCAAATATGGTGTCTGTATGTTCCCTGGAGTTACAAATGCACCCCCCCCCCCCAAAAAAAAAAAAAAAATATATATATATATTTAAACAGCATTTGCCAACGATATTGAATTACGTCACACGGTTCAATGATATCATTATTTGTGAAGCATAAAAGTGATCGAGAAAAAATTTCAAAATGTTAGCCTCATATTGTTAAGTCTGTGGTGAATTGTTTTAGTGGTAATTGTGGTGATGGATGTTGATGGAGAATAACGCTATGTAAAAGTAAGAATGTCTCCCGCAATGTGATAAGCCGTGCATCTGAAGCAGACTTCAGGTAAATATCAATAATAAAGATGTTGCCCTGTTTTAAATTCTGAAAGCTGTTGACTGCACATTGGTTAAAAATTCGATTGCTGCAGTAGCTCTGCAAAAAGCCTAAACTTGCTATATAAGATTGTGCATATCAAAAAATTCAAAAAGTAAAATTTCATAGTTACAGACTCTTAAAAAGTAGGCCATTAATTTCTGCTTAATAAAAGATAGCAAAATACCGGGTAATGTGCATGTTTTGAGTTATTTGTTTTTATAATAAAAAGTTTGTTTTGAAAATGGAATAAAGATCCAAGACACTGAATCATACCACACCCAGTATCATACATGCAGATTAACACACATATATTGCATACAAAACATACATGTCCTACCTATAAATGTATGGGTACCTATTAATAAATGTACACATTCATTAACACAATTTATAATGAAATGAAATAAAATCATGTACATTTTAACTACAGTTTGCAATAAGTTGAGTTCAATCTGTTACCTTTTACATTTGTAAGTCTACATTTGATGTCTTAATTCTATATATTTGTAGTTTTTTTTTTTCATTTGCCACTGTTGTTATCTTTCAATAATTATTTGAGCATGCTTACTTCAGTAGGTTTGGTTGTTCCTAATTACCTGACACAGTGTAAACAAACAAGAGTTATTCCCCTTCCAATATAAAAGTAAACACTCGTGCAACAATCGGTAAATTTTTATCCTCCAGGTTTATAAGCTTGCTTGTTTGTTGTCATTTTTAGCAGTGTTAAAGACTTGTATTTTAGTAAATAATTCATGCATTTTATAATCATCAAACCTATATTCAGTCTTCAGATTCCTCGTTTAACAACACAATTTCAAACAAGTTTGTAAACATTTGCACGGTATTGTATAACTGATATCAGATTTCAATGACAACCTGCTAGATTGTTAAAAATGTTTAAACTGTAAATCCTGTAGTGTTCTCATTACTGATACACGTACCTGTTTTGATGTTACTTTACCACAAAATGCTATGATACATGTAGTCACGCGGATCTGAATTGTACAGACACTTATATATTGCTTACGTTATGAGGTGTTTTCTTTGAGGACTGACATATGTCGATATAACAACATAAAAACTACAAACAATACGAAAAATTGACTGAACACTGGTCTTAGTTCAATAATCTTGTTATCGATGGATTTTTCTGTAAATAAATTAACCAACCTACACATTTGTTTTAATGAAGTTAGGTTTAAAGAGAAATTTAAAGATAACGATTTCGTATTTGTGAATCTTGCTTAAATTTTGTAAACTTGCAACATACAGTGCTTTAACTTATGTGGCATACAAATAGATGACCTCGGATCATTGTTTTGTATTTAGATCACCGAACTAATTTCTATAGCTAAATATTCCAAGGAAATTCCTTGAATTAGATATTTCAGAGAAGATTTTTCTTAAAACTAACGAAAGACAGACGATGTACGCTAAGTGACATCAATGGCGGACATTGACCTACTATTGCCTCATATTTATTCAAGTTCACATTCAGATATTTCAGGTTTACCACATTCTGAAGAAAGTTGTGCAAAATAGCAGAATGAAACAAGCAGAATGAAACAGATGACTGACCGTTATAATCATTCAACTAACCAGTTGTCGGGTGAACTTTCAATATGTATGCAGTAAGTTGTGTTAAATCTCATATTTCACACTGGATGCTGATTTTCTTCAATGTTGTTACATAGCTGACTGTAAATTATTTCACAAGCCACGATTGATATCAGACACAAGAATGAACGAATTAGAGAAACGATTGATTAAACGACTGCTTAAAAATGCAGTATACAAAATAGAAACTAATGTAACATTGACAAAGTTCATGCAGGTAGTGAAAATAAAGTTGTTTTTTTCATGTCGTTTTCATATGTTCTCGTATAATTTTATGTTTAACCATCAATAAAATGTACATTTATTTCAGTTTTTTAACTTCTATATCTGAATCAAATATACATGTCATATATGAAATATGCATGTCAGAAATGAGATTGCAACCTTTCTCAAACAAATACAAATATTCACGTGAAGGACTTCCTTAATGGTGTAGATCAAACGTGAATACTTGAAATTCCCAATCCATTCCAATCTCTAATATTTCTATCTAATCTTGCTGTGTTGTTTTAAAAAAGAAATGGATTGGATGAATCATCAATAATTAAACATTATCAGTTTGTACATCGAAGATTAAATTACATTTAAAGAGACAGCTTGCTAGATAATTCTGTTTTAAAGCGTCTGTTTGTCAGAAAAAGCATGCTTGCCAGGAAATGGAAATAACACTTACAATATTTCGTGCGTCTGAAGCACTTTTCCGGATTTACCTTCAGCAGGAACGCTCATGCAAATCCAATCATTTGAAAGATTGGGATGTATAAATACGAATCAAAGTTGGGAGCTCTATGACTGACGAAAACTTACCTAAAACAATAACAAATATGAATAGAGAAGCATAGCATAATAAATAAAAGAATACAGAATGGAGAACTCCACATCCATACCATCTTATTAGGCATGAACGAAGAGAGGATGACAAATTTTGACTACGATCATTGGTATGTATTTAGGATCATTTGTCATGTTTGTGTTCAGTATAAACTATTTCATATATCAACTTTAGACAAAAATAATCAAGTTTACAAGCATATAAGTTGTTTGCAAAAAAACTTCACCAATGGTTTAGACAGACAGATTGAGAAGCAACCTAGACACCCCTTTTTATATGTCAATACTAGTATCTTCATGTGATGATTTAAATTTTTTATTTCGATATGTTTGCAACATCTACCGTCCACTTTGGAAAGTCTGTAATCCGTCACGATTAAAGAATTGAAAACACTAAATTAGTTGATCCACGAAAACTTATATATATGTCGACATTTTAATTTTAAGTTCTTTTGAAACTTGCTAATTGAAATTAATGTAGCAACATTCGTTGTAAATATTACAAAATTAACCGACGGCAAAATATAAAGCAAAACATTATTGTTATTTTCAAAAAAATTGCAGTTAAATAAATCAAATATTGTCTTACATTTGCAATAATATGCAACATGTTCTTGTAAGAGATTTTTTAGTCTTTACTTGCAACAATTAAGTTATTCATAATTAACATTGTATCAAATATAAAATAAACAAGCAACTAGAGAATGGTGAAAAGCCTTCATTTTTGTCTCGCCTGCGACGTAAGAGACTTACGTCGCAGAATGCACGACGTAAGTAATACTATCTGGCGGCGGCGGCGTATACTATTTTTATAGAACTTTATATTTCAGAAGGTTTAAGACCTTGACGCTTCATGCCTTGTATGCAGATACCTTATGTTCATAAGTTTCCGTCGGTTCTATATGTCCATTGTCCTTGACCTCATTTTCATGATTCAGCGACTGCTTGAAAAAACAATTATAGTTTCTTTTTCATATGAATTTCTCACTTACTATTAGTGTTAGGACAACTATATTTGGTATATATGCTCCTTAAATCGTCTGCATATCCGTCAGACATGGTTCACCTGACCTCGACCTCATTTCATGGATCAGTGATAAAGGTTAAAGTTACATGATTATGTCGGTTTTTCTGGTACTATACGCAATTAGTCAACTACATGTGGTGTATGGAATGATTGTAAGGGGTACAAGTCTCTATGACAGGTTTCATCTGACCTTGAACTCATTTTCATGGTTCATTGGTCAATCTTTAGTTTTGTGTTTTGATCTGTTTTCAGTTACCATGAGCAATTAGGTCAGCTATATTTGATGTATGGAATAATTATAAGGTGTATATGTTTGTCTGACAGGATTTCATGTGAAGCTTGTAATAAAAACTCTATCTTCAAGACTTTCAAAATAAAATCAATGTTTAGAAAAGCAGGCGAGACATTTCAGCGTGTGCATTCTTGTTTCATTTACTGAAACAAATGCACGAGTTTTTAGAAAATTCATACCGACTATATTGTAAGAGTAAATTTTGACAATAAAATATAAATTAGAATGCATATATGGAAGACAACTCATGTATATTCATCCGTTTTATAAAAAAGATTGACGATAGGCGCTTTGGGCAAGAAAAAGCATATTTCTTTCTTTTCCTTTTTATATTGGTTTACAATTTTTTGGGAACAGATTTCTTTAATATCTTAACATACCTTCTCTTATTCAATGTTTTCTTGCTCTCATCCATACAATCGTTCGATAACAGTAGTTAATCAGTTCCTCTATTCGTATGACAGGCAGAATAGAGGTGCAACATATATATATAAATAAATATTTACTTAAAAGTATAAAATGAAAAGAGGATATACTATTTCCAATTGGAAGTTCCTGTGTTTAAAAAAAATATTTGTTTATAATAGAAATGCAATCAAAAGATAAGACATTAGCACGCAGACACTTTGTTCGTTTTTGCTTCTTCATTTTTCATTTCAAGATAAGCAAAACTTGGTCTCCTTAAGCTGAATAAATCATACATCAGTATAGGCTAATTTCAATACTTATGACCTTGATTCAGTGCCACAGTTATATATGACTAGTGTAAGGGTAATGTATGGGTTAGGGTATTTTTACAGCAGTGGTTGAAAAATAAATGTAGTGTAGTACAGCCCTTTATAATGCTTCATACGAAGAAATCAATTTAATTACACAGCTAAAGTTATTCCTTAATATAGACACGACATTTACATCTTTTGTTTGAAATGTCTTGGACTGTTAGATGTACCTGTTACGCTGTTGACAAGATTATTAACCTCCTTGTGGGATTTATATTTACATATACTTTCGTAATGTAATTTATATTACTATTTGATAAATGATTAACATACACTCATTAGACGTTCAGTCGTTGGTATTATTTTGCTACATTTAATACGTCTAAGGGATAAACTATACAGACCATTAGATAAATACAAAAATATGAAAACAACACTTTATCAATTTATGTGCTTGAAGCGATTTTCTGGATTTACCTTCATCCGGAAAAAGTGGGGCGAAAGATACAAAAGGGACATTCAAACTCATAAGTCGAAACAAACTGACAACGCCAATGCTTAAAAAAGAAGAAGACAAACAGACAAACAACAGTACACCAAACACAACACAGAAAAATAAAGACTGAGAAACGAGAAGCCCACCAAAACCTGGAAGTGATCTCAGTTGCTCGGGAAGGGTAAGCAGATCCTATTCCACATGTGGCACCCGTCATGATGCGGAACGGTCAAAGCCAAAATTTCCAAGAACATTTGTATTGAGGATTTTCTTAAAAACGCAGCCCACGTTTACTATTTTCTTAAGATAATTTGCATTCATACACATGTAATTAACACACACTATATTATCTTTTAAATAGTCTACAAATTAGGCAACGTACAATATAATATGAATTATAACCTTCCTATTCTCCTATAAAAAATGTATATTGTTAATAACACTATATAAAAATGAGGAGATGTGGTATGATTGCCAATGAGACAACTATCCACTCAAGTTAAAATAAAGTGGGTGTAAGCAATTACAGATAACCGTTCGGCCTTCAACAATGAGAAAACCAATACCGTAAAGTCGGCTATTAAAGACCCCGACATGAAAAATAAATATGACAGACATGAACCAACGACAACCACTGAACTACAGGATCCTGACTTGGGACAGGCACATAAAGAATGTGGCGGGGTTAAACTTGTTTTTCAGCGTTCAACCCTTCGCCTAACCTGGGACAGTGGTGTAACAGCACAACATAAAAACAAATTATAAAATCAGTTAAAAATGGCTTAACTCATCCGATCGATACAAAGCAGAAAAACATTTAACAAAAACACAAACCGGACGTAGCAGGGTATTTATACATCCCTAACAACAAAAGACAGAAAGTATAGATTTGATAGTACTCGCAGTTAATGACAGCTATTTCACAGCCAATACCAACTAATAAAAGAAATCATGTATCTAAGACTTATATTTAAATCAGTGCATATCCAACATCCAATGGATTAAGTGTAAAGACGTCATTAACAGTCAGCGAAAAACCTAAACTTGTGCAATGCCAAAAGACAGGTATCGACAGATTTTAGTACCGTGAAAGTGCAAGTGTGTATAAAAGTACTATTTAGAAGGGTTTTAATTTACTGATAACCAAATCAATATTTATATAAATAAAAACAATATTCAAAGACCCAATTATAGTGTTGAATTGGTAACCTTTTAGAATATGTTTATCTAAAGAAGTTTACCCGGGTCGTATATAAATTTCCGGTCTCGGTAAACAGCATCACCGTAAAAATGTGCAATTCCGTCTGAAATGAGTTTTTTTCATGTATAGCCAAACTTGCAAGCAAAACCATTGTATCTATGGAAGAATTCATTAAAGGTTTTAAGTAATTTTTGGTAACGATATCCTTGACTTAATAATATACCAGTAATACATAGATTACACTCATTGAAATCCGAAACGGCACTACAGACACGGGCATAGCGAACGAGTTGGGATATATAAACACCGTAAGACGGTGCCAAAGTAACATCACCGTCTACAAAAGGAAAATTAACAATAGGGAAAGAAAAATCATCCCTTTTGTCGTAAATATTTTGACACTTATTGCTGTTAACATTGGATTAATCTAAGATTAGTTCCTTTGGGTTAATATCGGAAGTATATTTAGAGAATTCTTGATTATTTCACGAAAAAATATCATCAAGATAACGGTGAGTGTTGTTGAATTTATCAATTAAAAGGAAATGAGACGGGTCTGAGTTTGGCCATAAGCTGTGATTCATTACAGTAAAGGAACAAGTCTGTTATTAAAGGGGCAAAATTGGTGACCATTGAGATACCTACATTCTGTCGATAAGCTTTGTTGCCGAAACGTACATAAATGTTGTCAAGGAGAAAATGTATGGCTTTAATCATCTCATCACACCTCCAGTAAGT